CTAGAAGAATTTATGGCCAAGGAACATCACAATTCTAGAAGATGAGAAGGGAAATATACTACCAGCAGACCATGCTGAGCCCCTGTGAGGGATTTGATGGCACTGGTTCAATGCTTAATGAACCACTGCTATGTGTAGGAATGCTTGCTTTCAAGTAACCAAGACACACACATATTTTACATATGTGCTGAAAACTCACAGGCAGTATGGTAGGATGATTGTCCATTTTGGAATTCTGTCTAGCACCCAGCCAAGCTGCTGCCACTGTAAATAATTTTTGCCCTCTTGTTGCAACTGGTGCATTGGCAATGTTGGTGGCATGGAAGACTGGCCTAGCTCAGTCACACTCAGTCCAGGCATAGTTTTCTCAGGTTTAGCTTTTATATGACTCAGTGACACCTGATTCAGCCCAGGGCTGGGTTCTAAGTCCCTCTGGAGGTCATCTGGTCCATCCCCTCTTTGCTTGATGACGTTGCAGAAGGGTGGCCATCAGATTTGTTGAATGCTTCCAGGAGCAAGAAGTAGCCAACCAGTCTGTGACTCTTTCATATATATTTTCCTTATGTTAAACTGAAAAGCATTTGGAACATTACCAGATAACCATTCTCTAATCACAGACCCACATTCAAATATACATTTTTAAAAAATGGTTTTGCAGAGTGATTCTATTGATGGTGATCAGAACTGGTAAGTATAAAAGCATTTCCTAGTAAGTGGTAAAGTAGTCCCTGTCCAGTAGTTTGTAGACAATGGAAATTTTTTTCTCACTCTTTCTTTCTCTCTCTCTCTTTTTTTTTTGTATTTTAGGGAAGGGTCTACAGAGTATTCACTGGATCAGACTCATAGTGATCCGCCTGTTTACAGCCTCCCAAGAGCTGGGATTACAGGTGTGTGCCACCATACCCAGTCTGACAATGGAAATTTTATGAAAAGGAAAAACATCCAAATTCTTTTAAAGTTAAAGGAGAAATTAGCATGGAGAGTCTTCAAAGAACTAAAATTAGAGGTTCCATTTGACTCAGCTATTCCTTTCTAGTTATCTTCCCAAAAGACTTAGTCATTATATCACAGTAATACATGTACACCTATATTTATAGAAGCACATTTTAAAATAGCTAAATCTTAGAAACAGCCTATATGCCCATCAATAGATGAATGAAGAAAATATGGTATTTACTTTGCCATAAAGAAGAATAAATGTGAGGCACCTTTACATATATAGAATACATAGCCCATGACCTTCAGTGAATTCTATCACACACAAGTATAAATATTGCATTGTTTCTCTTGTGTCAGAAACCTGAGCATAAATAAGGAGCAAATTAGAAGACAGACACTAGAAAGGAAAAAGAACTTTTTCAAATGAGAAGGAGACTAAGAGACAGGGTAGGAGGGAATGAAGAAAAGGAAAAGAGGTTTAAAGAAAGAGTTGAGGGGCCCTCAGCAGACTAAAGCGCCTATTTAGGCAAGCTTTGGCAAGCACCGGGACCTTGCTTCAATCCCCAGCACCACATCCCTTGCCAGCCCCACCCCCAGGGTGGGCTGAGCTGGCCAGAGTCTGGGTGTAGTGGTGCATGCCTGTAACCCTAGCACTGGGGGGGAGGCTGAAAACAGGAAGATTACCATGAGTCTGAGCTGCACAGTGTGACCCTGTAACAAATACGTTAAAAAAAAGAGGAAAGAGTTGAACAAAGAAAATGGATAGAGCTTTTGCAAATGGGGAGGGGAAAATGATTGAGGGGGAAGGAGCCAAAAAGGAATTTAGATATATGTGTGTATAAATATTTATAATTATATGCATAAATGTGTGTTATATATGTGTAGAAACTCATGATGTGATCATTATGTACTGTAAACATGTACTAATAAAGAAAAAGTAAAGGAAGAATCTTGTGACTAAGGTAAGGAGAAGAGAGGCTTAAGATAGTTTACAGAGAAGTAGTGTTCTATTTACATCATAGAGAAGTAGTGTTCTACTTATGTCTAGTGTTTTATATTACAGATATACAGATATTTATTTAAAAAAGTAGTGTCATCATATTTCTAATACAGATCAAGCATCCTAATCTGAAAGTCCAAAATGTCCTAAAATCTGAAACTTTTTGAGAGCTGAGATAATACCAAAAGTGGAAAATTCCACATCTGATCTTATAGGATGGGCTGTAGCAAAATGCAGGTGTACTTAAAGTATTGTATGTAAAGCATGTGAAACATGAATTTTGTGGTCAATCTTGGATCCAATCCCTAACATATCTTCTGATGTATATGTAAATATTCCAAAATTTGAAATACTTTTGATCCCAAGCATTCTATAGGGACGCAGTCTATATCCTATTACGTTCTCTAGTGTTCTGTAGGAATAAAGCCTATATCTCATTAACTAAAGCACTAAAAAGCAGATGGACACAGTAGAGAAGAGGAGCAAACAAAAGGTGTGTGCAAGGCACAAGCTGGGGGAAAATCAGACCATAGCTGGCCTTGATGTAACCCTTACTAACTTCCTCCCCTTTCTATCTTTCCTGAGGGTTCTCGGTTATTTCCCTCTCTACAGAAGTCTAGCCTTTCAGAGGACTTCACTCCAGTTGTGCTTCTCATACTGATTATCCATTTATTACCTTATGAGTTTTTCAAAAGCTTCCTTTTCTTTCCGCAGAGCAGTGAGATAACGTTGTTCCTCTGTTGATCCGCCATATATAAGAAAGTAAACCCTGCAAGTTGAGACAGAACTCTTTTAGCTTACAAAAACATAAATTTTTAATCCCTGAAAGGAACAACAGAACATTTGAAATCAACAACCTAGAATGCTCAAACAATAAATGTTTAACTAAGATAAAAGGTTCCATACACAACTTACTCAAATTAAGCTGCCTAAACCCCACCTGTTACACATCTCATTACCTAATGAGCTTGGCGCTTTTCTTTCATGAGAAAGGAGAACAGAGTTTAGGTAAATATTGAAATTTAACTACAGGGATAAAATAATTCTTTCCATGTAACTATAAATAATAAAAAACCCCCCACAATCTTAGGGCCTCTTTCCCCCCCAAATTTTTCTTTGCACCTCTGCCAAACAACTGTTTAAAAAGTTGGATTAAAAAAAAAAAGTTGGATAGTTTTTTTTTTAATAGTTAAAAGTTCATGTTAGTGCAAAATAAATCTATATGACCTTTATCTTCACAATACTTTCTCAGTTCTTTGTTCATGCCGTAACAGAATGGAGCCATCAGCCATTTTATATAAAGATGTAGACAGAGATGACATATGGACTATATCAGGCATCTCAAAATACTTTGATATATTTACTTTTAAAAAGGCCTGCTTTTGTATTTTGTTTGCAGAATTAAGCATCTTTGTGGTATATTGTCTTTATCTTCTACCAGAGATATTTTCCTTAAAGCCTCAATTTCTCTTTGAGCTTTATCTTCCTAATTTCTATTTCTTTGAAGTGGAGACAAGGAAAAGATCATTGGGTAATGAATTAAGATTCCTCAGCTCTTCCACAAATTTGCCACTTGGCTGAGGCCAAGCCATTCACCATTTCTGGGTCTTGGTTTCCCATGGACACAGTGAGGAGTCGATGTCCTAGGTCCCTTCTGCTCCTGACACTGGATTCCAAACAGCACACTATTTTGTTCTCAAGCAAGAAGCCTGGCATGTATAGCTATCTACAAAGTTGATCGATAGCAAAGTATGAAAAAACTTACCAGACTGTAATTATTTTACCAGCTTCATCTAATCTCTTTATCTCTGCATTATTTCTGATCCAGCTCCTCCATTCATCTCTACTTTGAAAGGCTGCATTTGTTAAACTGCTAGAAAGGTTTCTTTTGGCTCAGTTTTTGGTTCAGATTGAGTTCAGGATATTAATTTTGCTGTTTATTTCCCTTCAGATAATTGGAGAGCTAGAACACTATATTCTTTGGGAGGCATCATTTTCTCATCTGATATTTCTGTAGATTTTTTTCATCTGATACTTTTTGGAACTCTAGAAGTCAGTTCAGTAATTCCCCCCAACACTTTAGTTTTATGTGGGTATAATTCAGTCACTTATAAAATTTAGAAGACTACTTAGAAGATTAAAATTATATACCTTGACATAATTATGTTAACTTTTGGAGGCACTTAAAATGTTATAAATTTCCTAGACTTTTTAGATACACTAATCAGTAAGTCACAAACTAACATAAATATGGTATAGAACAAACAGTGGCAAAGAATGAAATTATAAGTAGTCCACTAGTATACTATTCTGCTCTAACATTTCATACCTCTCCTGTACAACTCCTCAGATTCAGTAGACAACAGTTTTTATGAACCTAACCAGCATCGTAACTATGGAATGTTAAAGATTAAGAAAATAGGCAACTCAGATGGTTTTTGTGTTAAATCTTTAAAAAATTGTGAAAATGAAAGTGTCAAGAAACAGTTAATACTCTTTCTGACTTGCCTCAGTGGTTTCCCCGGCCTACTTGCCCTATAAATTTCAAGCTGACGAACAAATGTGAGCTCCGCATCATACAGAACCACATATCTTGGCTCCACTTCATGGAGAACCCTTGTCAGAGCGTAGGGGTCACTACAACCCAGGAGCGGATGGATGATGGTGAGGGGTTCTTTCAAGATTCCATAAGCAGCATCAGATGACAAATTTAAATCAAATTCTTCATGCTTAATTTCTTCCAAGCAGCTTTCTGGGCTACTGCTTATTTCTTTAGGATATCCTTCCTCAACCTCCTCTTCCTCTTCTGATTTTCCTATCATCTGAGTTAGAGTCAACCTTCGTTTTTTCTTTTTGGGAATTCTTTCTTTGAGAGAACTCTGTTCTTTGTGTTGGAGGTCTTTGGGCCTTTTGTTAGATTTCCCAGTTCTCTTTGAACCATCCTCCTTTCTAAATTTCATCCACACTTCCTCAGCTTTGCTGTCCTTCTCAAAGGTCTTCCTGTAGAGCTGCAACAGGAAGTCCTCTGCCCCAGTGGTGAGGTAGTCTTTCAGCTGGGAGCATGTGCGGTCATCACTTGCACAGATAAGAACTTGACCTACAATCAGAAAACAATGGCATGTCTCTGTATCCTCTCATTTCTTTCTCCAAGGGCAAGACACGAACCCATTATAATTTATAAATTATTTTAACAGTCATAGGTGCTAATCACATGGTTTCATCTCTCTGGCAGGATTACGTATTTTGTTTTACGAGATAGGGTCCCTTGATGTAGTTCAGGCTGGCCTTGAGCTCACTACATAGCCCAGGCTGGCCTCAAACTCATACTGATCTTCCTGCCTCAGCTTCTTAAGTGCAGGGATTACAGGCATTTGCCAGCATGCCCAGCATTTAAATGTTTTCAATATTTAAACTGAATTCAAACCTGACTGAGCTGGTGATTTGAACCTCTGGGTTCCTCAGGCCATTAGCATAATAAAAGTTACCTTCTAATTCCTCAAAAAAAAAAAAAAAGTTTTCAGTAGTGTTGAAACCAGAATCATTCATTCTTATGAAAGCAGAGCACAGTACAATGGAGGCTTTAACTCTTTTCAATTAGTATTTTTGAGGGGGATTATGTACACCAAAATAAATTTCAAATGGATTATAGAATCAAATGTTAAATATTAAATTGTAAAAAAGTGACTGTTCCTTTTCTCCAGACAAAGCTGACTTTCTAGACTTAAAAGCAATGGAAGAACTCTCAGAGGTTATATCTATATTTGAAGATTAACTTGATAATATAAAAACTGCATTCAAAAACAGAAGACAAAAAACTTTAACAACTATGATAAATGTTAATACCTTTATTGTAAAAGAAACCAATATAAATGGTAGTAACTGTTTAACTGGCTAACACGAAGAAAAGTCACAAAAGAAGAACTGCATTTGACAAACTGTTGGAGCTTACTACATATGAAAACATAAAATAAGACATTGTCTCCAAGTTAAAACAACCGTTATATATGTTTTACACATAAAATACGCATACAAGGGCCAGGAATAGAACCCAGCAGCACAGTGCCTGCCTGGCAAGCATGACTCCCAGTACCTCCCCGCAAAAAATTCCATTACATAGAATATATATGAAGACATGGTCAACCTCATCATAGCTACGTGGAAGAGATAAGCTCTTATGTTGCTAAAAGAAATGAAAATTAAAAACTGGATGGAAGTTGTACGTCTCATAAACTTTAAGAACATTAATACCATTTTTTTTTGGCGGAACTGGGGATTGAACTCAGACCCTTGCGCTTGCCAGGGAAGCGCTTACTTCACTGAGCCATCTCCCTGGCCCCATTAATACCATTTGGTTCATTAATTCTATGTCTAGAAATGATTAAACTCTGATTTCAGCAATTAGAAATAGGAAATATGTGAAGGCCTGGAAGGAAATGTATCAACTTAAACATCACATAATGCTAGAAGTAGGGGCTGGTGAGATGGCTCAGTGGTCTAAAGCACCTACTTAGAACAAGCTAAACTAAGCAAAACATAGGGACCGCGGTTCAATCCCCCAGCACCACATGCCAGCCAGCCCCGCCCCCTGGTGGGCTGAGCTGGCCACACACACACTAAATAAATAAATAAATATTTAAAAAAAATGCTAGAAGTAATTTTCCTTCTTTGTTTTCTTTATCCTTTACACCTTTTCTATGGTGAGCATGGATGACTCTAGCTTTGATGTCTCTGTACCCTAAATTCTGAGATATCAAAGTATATGTACTAATAGAAGGAGTCAATGCTTGCTTGGATTGTAAGAGTTCAAAGACTCAATGGATATTTTTTAAAACTTAATTTTTTATTTGCTCTTCTTTTTAGATTTATTAGATTAGGTTTAGTCTATGGTGCTAAGCTCCTAATATACCCATTTTTGAAGAGGGCAAGCCTAAAATTTGCAATTTTTTTCCCCGAGGGCTAGATCAGTGTCATTCCCTACAAGAGTTTAAACTCCTGTGGAAAGATACTTGCTTAGAATATAAAACAGAAAGCCCATCAGCTTATTCCTTAGGGGTACAGATTTAATACCTAGTGAATATACATGTGGAGATTAGGTGAACCTTTAAATTGAAGTCCTGAAAACTCAACTAGTTAAAACAACAAAACAAAACAAAGCACCTCCTTCATGAATACACAATGATTCAATCTGGAGAAAATCACATCAAATGAACAGAATTAAAGTTGCCACCAGAATCTCAATATTTACTTACTTTTATAAACAAAAGAGTGAATTACTTTAAAGGAGCTAATTAAATTAAGGTCCATTTAAAATGCCATTATCTCCTGTTTTTCCTACCTGGGCCCCCAAGGACTTCACTCTCCTTATTTTCTGCCTCAATTTCTTTCAGTACTTCAGTTAGTGCCTCCCACTTTGGGTTGCTTTCTAGGACCAGTTCCTTTTTTGCTTCTGTATAGAGATGAAAGATGACAACATCAGCATCAGTCCACAGACCATTTCTCTGAGCTTTCTTTATAATCCAAGACAGAATTTGTTTTTCTGAAAAAGGCATACTGAAGGTCTAACAGAAAGGCACTTCAGTCAGCATTACTATAGATTACATGAGGTCCTGATAGGAGATTATATGCATGGTAATTAAAAGAAGATGACTTGGTGTTAATGTTCAACAGTGACACTACGTATAAGCTGCTATTCAAAATAAGTGAAAGTATTTACTATTTTTAAAATCTCTATGATTCTCACAATCCTAAACATTCATAAACTAGGCAGGAAAAACAATTACTAACTGTATCTTACACCTCAAAAAATTAGTGACATATGATATCTAATTAGATAATGTAGAAATAAAATCCATAATTGCCTGGTTTTAGTATATTTATGACCTTTAAAAGTTAAAAGTAATGTTAAAATGTTGCACGAAGACTTTTATTGCCAAAAAATTATTATTTCAAACTTTTGCAAAAAAGTCAATTTATAGTTTTAATGTAGCAGTAAAAATACTCGTGAACACTCTTGATTGATATTTGACCTTTGGTATTTGAAATCCTTTGGCAATGGATTTCAAGACTTGCCATACAAAATACTTCTAATATATGTTACATATGTTACATAAAGTGGTTAACATATGGTTGAAGATTTTAAATTACATTTTACCTAAAAAAAGTGTTTTCACAGCAATACCTAATAAAATATATGCTTAAATACTTAAGCGTACAAGATACCTTGTCCTTCCTTAATCTCCATTTTTTCAGGTATTTTGCTTTTTTTACTCATTTTAGCATCTGGAATATGGTAAACTCTTGCTCGGGCATTTACAAACATTGAGGTGCTGGAGTCAAGAAACAGCCAACCTATGTTGAAAATAAAACACACACACACACACACACACACACACACACACAAAAAACCCTTTCAATTTGTGGTTAATTTTAAATAGTCTCTGGCCTACATATACAACTACAATAGTCACATGACCTACATATACAACTGGCAACCATCTTTTTTCCCAGAAGCCATACCTTCTCTTACTGTTGTGGTCTCTATGATTAGTTAGACTAATGGTTTTCAAAGTATGGCCCATGATCTCCTTGGGATTCCCATGATGCTTGCAGATGGTCTATGATGCCACAACTTTCTCATGATAATACTACGACACTGGCCTTTTCACTCTGTTGACATTTCCAATGGTAGCACAAAAGCACTATGGTGAGTAACACTGTCGATTCCTTTGTATAAACCAAGACAGTGGTATGAAAGTGTATTAGCAGTCAACGCATTCTTTACTATCATGGACTTGTAGTTTATTACTTAAACACATCCCTGAAGAAAGTAAATATTAATTGCATTAAATCTGGAACTATACAGGGCAAGAGTCCTGTGTAGTGGGGGATGGATATAGTTGTTTGGAAAACAAGATGGTGGCCAGTCACATATGTATGTTTCCCTACCAATCTCTTTAGTCTTTAGTACTCTAGCTGATGAAACCTGTCACTTGCTCTTTGGTTTTTTTTTTTTGAACCGGGGATTGAACTCAGGTCCTTGCGCTTCCCAGGGAAGTGCTTATTCTACTGAGCCATCTTCCCGGCCACTTGCTGTCTCTTTGGGAAAAATGAATTTTAAATTCCTAACAACTTCCAGAACATAAGCTATTTCTAATTTGGAGACAGCCAGTACCATCCACAGTCTTTTCTAGAAATAAAATTCCCAGAATGGATATGAGTATTATTATACAGAACAGAAGTTAAGTAGGTGGAAACATTAGCTATCAATACAACCTACATCCTTGTACAATGAACATAAAATGTAATTTGAGATCTTAATATATAACATGTAGTTTAATATAGCATCCCCCATGCCTGTTTCCTCCCCAAATCTAACTATTCATACCGGCTCCTAGAATAATATTAGTATTTTTATCTCACACCTGAGTTCTGACCAAAAGCCTTTTCTGTTGCTCTCAGAGATTCCAAAAGATTAAGAAATGTGACACAATCATACTGTGAGAGATACTGCAGCAAAGTCCGCAGTATCTTCAAATCTTGAACCAAGGATTTAGTCTTGGCTCCAAGCTGGTGCCACAGAGGATCCAGATAATGGCGGATTGTCTAAAACAAGAATAAAATTCAGTATTGCTGCAATATGTTAATATAGCTATTCTTTTTTAAAAATATAGCTATTCTTAATACAAATTATACTTTAAATCTTTGTATCACTCAAAATGGTTAAAAGGATATATTTTATGGCATATGTACTTTACTACAATAAAAACAATTTTTAAGATGGAGGAACAGAAAAAAAAAGATAGAGGAACAGAATTCTTAAAATTAGTTTTATGTATCAATATTTCATACAAAACTGACTTTTTGAAAGAATCAGTAAAATGAGAAGTTAAAATTTTTCCTTTAACATATTTCCAGTGAAAGAGATTAATTCAGAATTTAAAAGATAGTAACATACTCTTCTAAAATGTAAAAATCAGAAACTGCCTATAAATTTTATGAGAATATATTATTGAAGGAACGGAAGCTCCTGTATGAGAGGAACAGGGAGGGGGGGAGGGTGAGTGGATGGTCCCCCAAAGTTCAGAAGGATTTTTTTTTGGTTGGCTCAGGATGCCTTAAGGGCAGGTCTGGTAAGGCATGAGGATCTGGGGATTGAACCACAGTATCCTGAGACTGACTGCCTTCACTTAAGCAGGCACTTAAACAACTGAGCTAATGGGCAGGACCCCTTCCTATAATTTTTAAGTCAGTATTTTATCTATAGCTCATTACCATAGTAGACACTTCTAAAGCTGGATTAATACTAGTCAATGGTCAAAAAAGTTAGAATAAAGATTCCTTGAATTTATGTATATTTTCTCAATTTACAATGTAATTTTAAGACAGAGCAAGTCTCACATATTAGCAATTAAAATTCACCCAAGTTTTTTTATTTTTAATTTTTTTTTAAACTTTATGTATGTATGTATGTGTGTGTGTGTGTGTGGCCAGCTCAGCCCACCAGGGGGCGGGGCTAGCTGGCATGTGGTGCTGGGGGATTGAACCGCGGTCCCTGTGCTTTGCTAAGCTTGTTCTAAGTAGGTGCTTTAGACCACTGAGCCATCTCACCAGCCCTATATCCAAGTTATTTTTATTTCAAAAAAGGATAATTTCATGTAAATATGAACTTTTTTTTTTTTTTTCTTTTTGCAGTACCGGGGATTGAACTCAGTACCTTGTGCTTGTCAGGCAAGCGCTTATCCTACTGAGCTATCTCCCCAGCCCATTTTACTCTTCTACATGTTGATATCCAAATGTTGTCATTTCACAACAAAAGTTATTTATCCTCCTCTTGATTATATTTAAAATGAGATTTTACTTCAGTTATGTATGAACTAAATAACTATAAAGGTTAGATATATGCTTTCATGCCAAGCCACATGTTTTAGTAAACCAAAGCAGCTGTACTTTAAATCACCTCCAATTTAATTCTAAAAACAGCAAATTCCTATTAAGAACACTGCAAATATTAAACATAACTTACATTCTTTAAAATTATAACAAACTATGCATTAAAAAGCCAAAGTACCTTGTCAAAAGGCTTCCCAATAGCATTTTCTAAAGACAAATCTTCCACTTCCAGTGATGGGTTATGACATTTCAGTTCCTTTAGGCATGCATTTAAAATATCCAGTATAGCAGTTTGGATGGCAAGCATGGCAGGTGTCATAGAAACATGGATTTCTACAACTTCAGGTTTATGTTGTTCTAAAAATGAGTTGACTGATACATGGAACCTAAAGACATAAATAGTTTTCAAATAATTCTTAGTTCCAACTGCTATGTATTATCCCAGTTCAATATTCTAATAGGTTTTATAAATGCAATTAGGAAACATTGAAGTGACCAACCTTTGAAGAATACTTCAGATTTACATGAACAGAAGTATTATTCATATAAGGCAGGGCACAGAAACGACTGCCTGGGCCAAACTGAACATTTTTTTTGTCTACTGCTGCTTTTGTGACTGTGACAGACTGCACGGCCTGGAAAGCCCAAAATATTTACTATGTGGTTGTTTATAGGAAAAGTGTGTTGACCTATGAGGTAATATATAATCAAAACAGGAAAAGTTTTACAACTACTTCTCTTAAAAGTATTGTATTACCAAAATCATACTGCAAATTTTACAAAAATATTTGGAAACTGAAACTTTATGTTTTCAATGCTTCAAAATCTTTGTGCTTTATTTTCTGGCTGGTAATCCTCACAGTGGAAGTGGCAGTCTTATCCAATAAATCTGCAGCTCACCTAAAGCTATTGTATACGTGGGCCTCTGTTTGCCTGGGTGTTTCACTATATGCACAAGAATGAATTAAAATATCTTGGATGTATCTAACAGACTGCCAGAAAAATATCTCTCAAATCTCTACTTTCAAAAAAGTTACAAATACGGTGACTATGTATTTACATCTATTGTGTTTGTTATAGACCTGACTAGCCTCTATCTGCAATATCAGTATATTTTACACTGTATTAAAGCCCAAAAGATCCTCTCAAAAATGACAAAATATTATTTACCTAGGCCACAGATACAGCTTCCTCACAAAAAGATTTCTCATCACTCTTTCCACATGACAAAACCCAGTATCAAAGGCGACAGCGTTGTCTGTGAAAGCTTTAATGAAACCACGTTTGTTTTTCTGGCGAAAGAGGCGCAAAATGAATGCTTCCTGGCAAGACTCGATTATTCGGTGGGCTCTGTACACCAATATTCCTGAGGGGAGAGGTTATAATATAAGTTACAGGACAGGCATAACATTTTGTGCTCATTCATTCTTTCAATTTTTCTGAGTGCCTACTTGAGAATGGTCAGGTAGGTTGGAGACACAGCTATAAGTAGAGATGTAAAATCTCCCTCACTGGAATTTTGCTAAACAACACAAGTATGCTATTTAGTGTATTACCTGTATTAAAGAGAACAATGAATCAGAGAAGAGGGAGTAGGCACAGAGGGTTTGTGATTTTAGGTAAACAGGATAGAGAGTAGGAAACAATAAGAACAAAGGCCCTGGAGTGGGGTGCGTATGGCACACTGAAAGAAACTAAGTGGATCTTAATTCTCTTTTTACACGTGAATCACACGTGCGATCTACACAATAGCTGCATTTTAGAAGTTATCTATTAGATTAATTCAATTTTCTTTTCTCCTTTTTTTTTTGCGGAACTGGAAATTGAACTCAGACCCTTGCGCTTGCCAGGGAAGCGCTTATTCCACTGAGCCATCTCCCCTAATTCAATTTTCAGAATCAAGGTATATTTAACTGAGAGGCAAATTAGTCCATTTAAAATAAAAACCTTTAATGATATATTTAACGTATGTTTGTTGTGGTGTAATTATATCATCTGCGAATCTCAAAAATAAAGATAAGTATATTTGCTTCCTTATTTATAGATGAGGATACTGGGCCAGAAGATATTTCATATACCTATGTCACTTTGATGCAGTATTACTGACAAATCAGGGAGAAATGCAAGATGAGTTAAGGATACATGTCATTTGTTGGTTCAAAAATTCAATTATTCTATGATGATTCTCGATTATTTAGATCTCAAATCAAGCTGGTTATTTTACATACATTGTACTTGTATATTTTTTAATCCCAAATCACTCAGAGGGTCTGAAACATGATATAGTAATTTATTGGCCTTTTTATCATTCAAAAAGCTCAATTCAGATTCTATTATTTGTTACTTTAATTTTAAATTGAGAAGGATGAGGGCTGGGCAAATAGCTCAGTGGATTACAGTGCCTACAAGCAGGCACAGGGGCCGGGTGGTTCATCCCCGGGCCTGCAGTGCTGGCCCCACCCCTGGGGTGGGGCTACCCAAGGCAGCAATTGAGATTGGACGTGGTAGCCCACCTGTAATCCCAGCACTTGGGAGGCTCTAAACAGGAGAATCACTATGAGTCCAATCTAGTAGTGAGACCCTGAACACCCTGTAGACCCTCCCCTAAATTACAGAAGAACAACAAAGACATGGATGAAACTAAAATAGACTCTAGCTAATCAAATTATTTTTCAAATGTAATAAAAATTAGGTATTTATAGCAAAGGAATTTCAATACCCCTTCTCCCCATACATGTGCATAATTAACTACTCCGAATATATTCTACCCAGTAGGTGGGTCTTTCTAAGAACTCTATGTGTATGGTTTATAAGCTGCTATTCTTTTAGAAATCAGGAAAAGGAGAGAAGACACTAGAATACTGTATCCCAGGCACTGGGTTAGGTACTTTCATAGATTTTTATTTTATTTACAACAATCCTATGTGGTAGATATCCCACGAACAAAAGAGGGAAGGGAAAGTCACCGTGCAACCAAAGTGGAGGCCAAAGACTCCAAATCATTTGAGAAGCCACATTCTTTCTAATAAGTAATGCGACCTCAGGACCTTTCTTTACAAGAGTGCTAGTAGGTTCAGTTTTGGGGAACAGTTTTAGTCTCACAAGAACCTATTTAAAATTTTATGCTATGATATTTTTTACCTCATATTGTACTGTACTTTTTATATATCTGTCTGCCCCACTAAATTGTATGCAGACAAGAACATCATAATAAATAATCACCATAAAATGCTTAATATCTATATATCTACTATATCTATGTCTGTATCTTTATGGTAGGCATTTATGTGTCCTATCTCCTTTACAAAAAGCCTGAATGGATGGACTATTATTGACCCTGATTCAGATTTAAAAACTTAAACTCCTGCTTTACACAGGAGTGAAGCAGTTTGCCTGAAGACACACAGCTGAGGGACAGTGAAGGCAAGATCAGTCTCTGAAGCACTCAAACTCCAGTTTGCCATATTGCTTGTTCACCTTTCTGTCAACAGAATGTTCCCTGCCCAACAAGGGGATCTTTAGTTAAATGCTTGTTGAATGAATATAAAGCTGAATTCTAGCACTCTGGCATGCAATCCTAACATACAAATTTCTTTTAAAATTGTTTTCTCAGGAAGTGTTGTCTAGTATTCTACCTAGAGACACTACTTAGGAGTTCTAGTTGGCAGTGATACCTAAGGGATGCAGTGGTGATAGGAATCAGACTTGCGAGGGAAACAAGACAGGGCCAAAGGAAGTATTTTTCAGTGTTCCAAGTTTAAGGGACTGCCCCAATGCTCTTTCAGAGCCTTGCTGAACACAATTCTTTTGGGGACCCTAGGGATGAACTCGGAAGAATTTATTTCTGGCATTCATTCCCTCAGCTAGGTACCAATTCCAGCTTCATTATAGGCAGGGACTTGATCAGAAATGAGTAGCAACTTGGCACTTTTAATTTGCAAGTACTCACACGCTACACTTCGAGGCTGCATTAAGACTATTCTCTACCTAATTAGGGTGCACCATAACTGATGGAATAATACTGACATCTAGTGGCAGTTTCTAGACAATTATTTCATGTTAGCAAATTTAAAAAAAGAAAAATATGCTTCTAAGAAAACAGCAAAAAAAAAAAAAAAAAAAAAAGAAAAAAGAAAATAAAGAAAGAAAACAGCAAACAGTAGGAGACTTTATGTTGCAGAAAGACTTCTAGTTATAAAGAAACATTCCTTTTGCCATAATTTACTAGTTCACTATACATGCAGGTACTACACTAAGCATTTTAGTGTACCTCAATCCTTATAATAATCTGAAGAGGCACACTATTCTTGACTTTAAGAAATGAGAAAATTGAGGTTCAGAAAAATTAAGGAATTTGTTTGTAAGCAGGGTATTAGCACTGAAAGTCAGGCCCATACCAGTTTCTAAAAACTATAAGGGCCAGCCAGATAGCTCAGCGCACTAAAGCGCCTGCTCAGGCTGACAAAAGGATAGGGTTTGATCCCTGGCTTGCCATGCCCAGGGTGTACTGAGACTGGGCGTGGTGGCGCAAGCCTGTAATCCCAGCTCTTGGGAGGCTGAAAACAGGAGGATCACTATGAGTCCGATCTATACAGTGAGATCCTGTACTAATTAAAAAATAAAAAAATGAATAAAATCAGAAACAGTAACAAAATTCTCTCAACTAGTTTATAATAAACCATATAAAGCAATCAATCATACATTTATTCATTAAATATTTGAGGGTCTTTTAAGTTTGGGGAAATATGACAGGTACAGCAAGAAGTGTGCTATTGATTTCCAGTTTCTCTCCCTTCTAGCAGTTCATTAAAGAACACTCTATATCCATATTTGTTGGATTATTTATCCAACAAATATGTATCCATATTTGTTGGATTACTTATCCAACAAATATGTACATATATGCCATGTACCAGTTATTAAGCCTGAGATGAAGAAGCCCTTCCTTGTACTAAGGAAGCTTATTCATGAATGAGACAAACAGGCAAATACAAAAGTGTTCTCAGGGCTGGTGATATAGCTCAGTGGCATAGCACCTGCCTGACAAGTACAAGGGGTCCTGAGTTCCATTTTTAGTACCAAATTAAAAAAAAAAAAAAAAAAGAAAAAAAAAAAGTAGTAGTTTTCTCATTGCTGACTGGAGAGAATTATAGGATTATGTGAGGGCCCAGACAAAAGGCTCCTAAATTAGCACTGGGGAAATCAGAAAAGGTTTTTGAAAATACAAATAATAAAAAAAGAATTCCTTTTCTTTATTAATTACAACTAAAATGGGTGTGATCAACATGTACTATGAATGTCTAAATTATAACAAAATTTCCTCCCTCACTTTGAACGATTTATCCCATCATTCTTGCCATTTTCTGAAGCAGTTCTGGGAGCCTTCTCTTGTGAGTATCTTTATGAGGTGTAGTTAAAAAATACAGTGAGTACTGCCACTGGGTGCCAATGAAAGGCAGCCTTGTTAAAACAGTACTGTGTATCCTCATCTATCTTATCAATGGATCTGGCACTGTGGGACTTTTAGATCTTTCCCAAAGTCAAAACGACCATGTGAGGTAAATGTTTTGAATTGATTCAGGACATCAACAGAGGCACAACAACCTAACTAAAGATACTCACCAAAGAGGATTTTCAGAACTGCTTCACAAAGTGGCAAGACCAAAAGAATAAGTGTGTTCAAAGCAAGGGGGCTTATTTTGAGGGGAATTAAAGGCAATGTGTCTTATTGTAATAAACTTAAAAAAATTAACATTTATTGTAGTTTTTGATCATACATATTTTAAAACCACTTTTCTCAAAATAACCATTTGGTTTAATTTCAAATTGTAGGAAAAATTATTATTATTATTTTTTTAAGACAGGGTCTATGTAGCCCAGGCTGGCCCCCAACTTATAGCTATCTTCTTGCCTCAGTCCCCCAAGTGCTTGGATTACAGGCATGTACCACCACACACAGCTGGAAAAATTACTTTTTGTTTTTTTTTTGGAAGAACTGGGGATTGAACTCAGGCCCTTGTGCTTGCCACGGAAGCACTTATTCTACTGAGCCATCTCCCCAGCCCCTGGAAAATTTAGTTAAAGAGGAAATATTTCAATATTTTTGGAAATACAGAAATTACTTACAAACATTCCAAATCTAGTTAAATCCTAAAAGTAAAGACGAAGCAACTACAAATATTTTACTCATAACTAGCTGAGTATCAGCTTAGAAAAGTCAACATTCAGGGCCAGCCAAATAGCTCAGTGGAAAGGCTGGGGGTATGATCTCTGGGTCTGCCCTGCCCCCAGGGTGCCCTTAGATGGCAATTGAGACTGGGCATGGTGGTGCATGCTTGTTATCCCAGCTCTTGGGAGGCTGTAAACAGGTGGATCGCTACAGTCCAATCTAGTAGTCAGACCCTGAACACCCTGTAGACCCTTCCCTAAAAAATACAAAATAAATGAATAAAATAAAAATTAAAAAGTCAACTTTCTGTGTATAGTCATGTGCTACATAATAACGTTACAATCAATGAGGGACCACCACATAGGATGTAGTATCTGATACTAAGTAAGGATAATAAACAATTAAGTTCTAGCTCATGTATTTAACATACTCTACTTTCTTTTGTGATTGAATGCCAGGGCTTTGTGCATTCTGGGTAAGTGCTCTAACCTTGAGCCACATTCCAGCCATTTTTATTTTGAGAGAGAGGTTTCACTATGTTGCTCACTGGCCTTGAACTTGTGATCCCTCTATCTCAGTCTTCTGAGTAGTTGAGATTAAATGTGTACATACAAGGCTTGTCTGTATTATACTTTTTACCCTTATTTACCCTTATTTGTGCTCCTTCTACTTAATAAAAAAAATTACTATAAACCAGTATGCCCTGTTACACTGCCAGCCTCCTATACCTCATGTTTATCTTAGCTCTTTATTGCTTCAAGAGATTACATGTGATTGATCTATACTGCCCAGGTTTGTGTAAGTTCACAGAGATCACACAGTGAGGAAATAACCCAATGATACAGTTGCCACAATGTATCACCACTGTTAAGTGACCCTTATTTATATCATGAATATTTACTGACTATTTACCATGTGTGTCAGGAATTATGACAACAGCTGGAAGCACAATGTCAAGCAAAATACCCACAAAAAGTTCTAGAGTTTAGCAATGGGGACAGATAAAATAAAAATGTACCCATTTATATACAAGGAATAAGATTTTAAATTCTTACCAGTTATTAAATCTGAAGGAATTCTATCAGTCAAAAAATCAACCACAAGTATTCGACTTGTTGCAAATATAACACCACCTTGTGTGTAAACCTCATAGCGACCATTACTTGGGATTTCATTTGTCACACGACGAGGGAGATGATCGACTCCATCTAGCTTCAGCTGATTGATAAAATACTCCTAAATCAAATCAAAATCATTAGAAGAGTAACCTAAGGCAGTTTTTAAGAGGTTGCAGGTATTTAAAAGGAAATGCTACCTTTCTCAGATAATGAACTTAATAATGAATACAGAAACTAAGTACCTTATGTGGATCAACAAACCAGTCTACATTTAATAAGGTTTTTTTTTTGTAGTTTATACTAACAAATAATAGCATTACAATAATTAGCAAAATAACAACAAACCCTTTCAAAACTTTGGATTAAAAGATTGGTTATCTAGAAACCACTTGTCACCAAAGCCAGGTTTGCAGCCAAGCACCCTGAATGAGAACATAGGAATTGTTTCCATAGCTAGTATTTTGGGCTGTTCTGTCCTGACCCATCCTTAGAAGGACTCCATCGTGTTAACAAGTCCGTGTCAGCACCCCCCCCACCCCGTTTTGCACTACATGTGTTGTGACAGGCCCCATACCAAGCACGGGGGTACCAAAATAAATCAACAAGGCTCCTGTCCTCAAGGTCTTTGTGATCATTTTTCTCAGCTGACATTTCCTCCTGGCCACCTGCTCCATCTAGGAGATCATCAGGCCTATCAGACCCTGCTGGGTTCCCTCTCACTGCCCTCTCAGCACAGGGGTGTTCCCATTTCATCTTCCAGGCAGCCTTCCCAGTTAACACTTCCAGTATCCTTGGGAGAGATGTCCTACTCCCCCAGACCCTCTTTGCTACAACATCATGCCAAGCCTCCTGTGTCTCTCATCTTTCTACCACCGAGACACCCTCCATTGTTCCCTTCCAGAGAACGCACTTCTCTGATCCCACGAGCATCCTTAATATCCAACGTTGAGATGCCCCCAGTATTCCCATCTCGTCTCCCGACACCTCCTCCCGCACGGGGTCTCCAATCCACGCCCCTCGCCCTCGGCGCCCGCACCTCCCCGTGACTCCTTCTCTCTTCCTCCAGGGTTCTGGCCCCCATCAGGGACCCGCGCGCGTCTGTTTCGGAAACCCCAACCCTACTCCACATGCTCCCTTTCACTTTAGGGGCTGACTCTCTTGGGGCCGCCCCATCCCCGACTGAGAGCAGGTATGTGCGCCCGGGCTTCCGTCCGCCAGGGAGGCCCCATGCCCTCAGGTCCCCTCACTCGCCGCCGCCGCACCTCCTCGGCCGGCTGCGTGTTGAGCACCAGCACCAGGCAGGCCGGGTGGCAGTGTAGCCGGAGGAAATGGTAGAGGAGCCGGTCGGCACCAAGCCCTCGGGCGCACACGACCAGGCCGTCCGTGTCGAGCAGCTCCAGCACCAGCTGCCTCTCATATTCTAGCAGCGGCGCCATAGCGATCCTTCGAGCCGGCAAGCCCGGCTCCATGGGCGCCCTTCCGGGGCCGCCGCCGAACGTAGGCGGAAAAAAACCGAGCTGTGACGAATGTTGCCGGATGTTGCCGAAGAGAGCGGAGAGCCGAGCCTGAGGGGACCGGAGCCGGCCGAACGGAGCCGAAGAGGAGAAGTGGGCAAGACGGAGGCAGGCGGAGCGCGGCTGGGAAAAGCCGCCCTGACGAAAAGAGCCGAGTCCAGATCGAGCGTGGGCCGAATGCAGTCGAAAAGAGGTGAGTCCGAGGGTTCAGCAGCCGAAAACAGACGAAGAGGAGCCGAGGCAGAAAGGGGACTGGATTGAGGGAAACTAAGGAAAGCGAAGAGCAGCTGAATGGAGCCCAAGATTTTGGAGTCCGCGGTACCGGGCGTCGCCTCCAGGCGAAAGGCTCCATCTCAAGCCTTGTTATTTCCACATCCCTGGTATCTGGACTTTTCAAAGGTCAGCTACAACAAAAACAGCAGCAGCAGCAGCAGCAGCAGCAGCAGCAGCAGCAGCAGCAGCAGCAGCAGCAGCAGCAGCAGCAGCAGCAGCAGCAGCAGCAGCAGCAGCAACAGTACCAACATAAGCACGCAAACGTCTAAGGAGCGAAACAAGGACAACTGAAAAATCTGTCAATATTCCAAGGGCACCTAGGATGATGGGCGCCTTTTTTCCCCAGCATGAGATTTGGTTTTTACTTTTCTTATAGCCTATTCCCCCTTAAAGTTTTTAAGATAAACAGAATATGATGTTCTGTGTCTGCTTTGAAGAGCTTAGAACATGAGAAACTGAAAGGGTCATAGCTAGATGGGCATGCAGCAGCCGTGTTCCGCCTTCCACTAGGGGGACCCCTTGGGTTTTGTTTGTGCCATACCTGGGCACCCTCATCCCGGTTAATCAATCTGGGGGAGCTGTGTTGTAGCCCCTACACTGCTTTCGTTGTTAGAAACTAGAAAATACAAGCAAACAAAAAGAAAAAAAAAACCCAGAAATAATCACGTTTAACATCATGAAATCTCTTATTTTTAGTTCTTTTTCTCCAATACTCTTGGATTTTTTTTTTAACCTACATGAGCCATGATAAACTCCAAGTTTGTCACTAATAGTTGGCAAACCTCTGAACAGGATCCTTTTATATGCTGCTGAGATTTCTCTAATATGAGTGTACGATTCTTTTTTTTTAAATTTTTTTTATTTTTTTGTGGAACCAGGGATTGAACTCAGGCCCTTGCGCTTGCCAGGGAAGCGCTTATTCCACTGAGCCATCTCCCCGGCCCGAGTGTACAATTCTTATTTATTTAAGCCCTAATTTGAGGACGTTGAGTTTGTTTCTGCTTTCTCTCCCAGCATTATAAATAATATTTAACAAATATTGCTATACATAAATTCAACCATGGGTTTCAAATGCATTCCTTAAAATGGTTACTTACTGAGATAAAGAAAGGAAATTTCTATAAGATTTTTTTTCATTACATTCGCATTGCCACGTTGCTCTCTAGAAAGTCTGTACCAGTTTACATACGAAGCAGCAGACTATGAGGACTATGAGAATCTGTTTCACTGCCTCACTGCTGCTTAATCCAGTATTTTGCTTATCTTCATTCAGATGAAAACAGCACATGATAATCCTGCATTTTCTATTATAGTTTGTGCCTAGTTGTCCTCCCAATCTTGGGGTGGGGACTTTTAGAGTTTGAGATTAATTCATGATCAAGGCTGGGACTATGGGTTTTAGTACTGCTGGGATTATGAGTGTGAGTACTACACCCAGCCTGGGGCAAATAACTTGAATGTAATTTAAGGGAGACCGACTTCTTCTCTGTAGCCATTGTTGCTGCTACTCTTCCCTTGGCTCCTCTTGCTTTTTGCCACCACCATGAAAGGTTGCTTTCTGCCATGTGCCTCTCTGCCTTGGAGCCAGCTGAGTATGGACTGAAACCTCCAGTAAGTGTGAGATAAATAAACATTTCCTTCCTTCATTTTGGGTGTCAGGTATTTGTTCTAGCAACAAGAGAACAGTAGCTGAGACATTCTTCTTAAAGTGGAAAGAGAGTTCAGCAGGTACTTCGAACACAACATTGAAAGAGAGAGCGAGAGCGAGTGAGTGAGAGAGATCTGTAGTAAAGAATAAAGTGTGTGTGTGTGTGTGTGTGTGTGTGTGTGTGTGTGTTGAGGGATTATGTAATTGGGCAGGGTCAGAGAAATAGATTTAGTTTAGGATGTAGAGGTAGGGATTTAACATTTAACAGACATGTAGGAAATGTATGTTGAATTAACGGTGAAATTTAATTTTTTTGGTTTTATATTAGATTTTATTGGTATATTTTAGATATACATAACAATTACAATCATCATAGAGAATTTGTACTTACTTTTTTTAAGCTGATTAATAGGACATTTTCGATAATCAATACATTGTACATTGTTATCTTCTTAGTGGTTATCCATACTACAAGAAGCAGACAGGATTTCCTGTCCAAACACTATTAGTACACCTCTTTCTTCTCACTGAATTGAGCAAAAGTAGCTGTATATTTATCCTAACTATTTTATATGTATAAATACAAAGTGATCTTTCCTTTGTATCCCTTTTTTTTTTTTCTTTTTTTTTTTTTTTTTTCCTGTCCTGACAGAAGTGGATATTCTATTGGGATCTAAGTACTATAGGTGTTTATTATTTTTTTTTTTAAATTATTTATTTATTTATTCATTTAGTGTGTGTGTGTGGCCAGCTCAGCCCA